GTTTGCTCTCAATTTTGATATCAGTTTGTACATCCCTCAGATAGCTTTTCTTCAAATTCCAACAACTCCACCTCATTGTTAGTCCACTTTAAAAAAAACTCGGTGCTTTTTCTCGACATTTTGCCGCGACGTTTCAAAGAGTCGGAAAGTAAATAAACGGCAGGCAGAAATGAGGCAGGTCGAATCGTCTTGTGTTTCATGCATTCGCAGTACTGGAACGTAAGCGTCTTCGCCCGTTTCAATGTGGACGCACAACTCTGTGAAAATGACTGAAGACGATAGTGTGTGGATGCGGAGTGTTTTCAGGCGAAAACGCCGTTTTCAAATCTATCCGGGCTAGTGTGGACGTAGCCATAGATACACTAATGAGCAGCAGTGGAGCCCAAACAGACAGACAAACAGAAAATAGTTAATAAAGAGGACTTAAATTATTCTGTTGGATAAAAGTGTATGCAGTGTGTCTCTCCTCAGGAGGACATCCACTTATATTTTACTTGGGGCAAGTGTGTTTAATACTTTATTGATAAATGGCCTGTGAGGCATGATGACATCATAAACCAGAATGTTTTGTTTGCTGATGTTCAGATTTGATTTCATGTCTGTTTGTAGCTTCTCTGACATGAAGCTCTGTGCTATTAAACTGTATTATAGATCTGATCTGCACATGTATTCTGTCAGCACGGTTCATTTATCGTCTTATTAAGTGAGTAAAAATATGCAGAAAAGAAAGAAAAAATGCAAAGAGTTTAAAGAAAATCAGCGTTCCAGTAACTATAGAAAAGTGATTTAAAGAGCGGAAGAACAAAGTGTGATCAAACCTTCATGAAAGGTTCACACCCAACAGCTGCATCAGTGTGTTTCATACAGTTTCTCTGTGATGTCACTGAAAGATTTTTTTTTTTAAGCAGTACTGATATTTCATTTAGCTGGAAGAAACCTCTGGCTGGTAGTTGTGTGTGGAGAGTAAGAGAAAAGAAGGAGAGCACGGAGAGACAAGCACAAAGTGCATACTGGGAGAGAGAGGAGGCAAGAGTTGATATTATGGCAGCATATAAAGACACAGGGAGGAAATACAGAATGCTAACAGGGCTTACCAAGCATAGGTCCGGGACCCAAGGAGTCAGAGGGGTTCCCTGGTCTTATTCCAAAAATATATTACATTGTCCAGAGTGAGGCACAATAAAATAAAGCAAGTTACTCTACAATCCAGTGCCAAATTTAAAATCTTGTCTTGGTCATTTACAACAAGTGGAGATACTTATAATTGACCTTGTTTTATGACGGGTCACACCACAGCTCCAGTGATTAATAACAGTGCTGGGTCGTGTCCTGGCATCCCCTTCCAGAAAGTTACCCACACATGAAGAGCCAGACTTTGGGGACAGTGCTGCAGTTGATCAACTGCTCCAACGTGCAGCTTTCTGCTGGGGTGTCTGACCAGGCGTTGATGTCAGGAATCTGTTCGCACAGTTTCAGGCATTTGCCATATGGACCGCATGTCTGACAAGAAGAGAGATTTAGGAGGCTCACGGTGTTCATCACTTTCCGGTGATATTTCCAGGAATAGCTCTGACTGAATTACAACGCTGTTAGATTTAAAACCTCCAAACATCGTGTTTATTAATATGCATGACATTAATATAAATAAGTAATAGCCTTTTTGCTTTTTCGTAACACAAAACTAAAGATCTTTGTGTGTGAAGAGATCCAATATGTACCTCCTGCTCCACCAGTGATTCCTCTGACATCAATGCAATATTAATGAACATAACTGAGGTTCTTAGATGATTTAACGACTATTTTATTAACTGTTGTGTTATTTACTGAGTCCAGTGTTAAGTCTTTACCCCTTTGTTGCATATCTGGTTTCATCCTTGTACAGACACAGCATGACATCCCTGTTATATTATGTGTGCGTCAGATGTTGTCTCTCATACTGTGTCTCGTCTCTCTGTTCCAGAAGTTTGGCAGCAATCAGTCTAAGCCTGAGTTCACTGTGGATCTGCGCGGGGGGACAGTGGAGTGGGCCTCCAAGGACAAATCAAGCAAGAAGCACGTCATCGAGGTGCTGGACCCACTGGACCTGCTCCCAACTCTCAGCTCTTGTTTTTTCAGTCATTTTCGGTTCAAACATGTCAGAACAAGCTGAGCTGTTTTGGCTTTTTATCCTTTCCTCCTCTAGCTGAAGACCCGTCAGGGAACAGAGCTCCTGATACAGTCTGAGATCGACAGTGTCATCAGTGACTGGTACCGCGCCCTTACAGAGACCATCAACACACATGTGAGTGGAGGACACAGAAGCTTTACCTTTAATTTAGATACTTTTCCCACAATTCAGTGCAAGTCCAGCCAGAGCTGAAATCCCAGTTTACACCTGTTTAAACAAACTGCAGTGAAAGGTTAAATATTCAGGAGTGGACAGAATAAATAGAAACTGAGAGCAAATTCATTCTGAGCCAGCTTAAGCTAACAGCATGTATGTGTCTTCCCCGTCCAGGCGTGGGAGTCGGATGAAGCCATTGAGGAGGACATGCCAGAGTCTCCGGGAGCTGAGAAACAGGACAAGGAGAAGGAGCACCGGGACTCTAAGAAGAGCCGAGGTAAGTCTGCGAGTGTCCCTGCGCTACAGAATGGACATTCAGTGTGTTTGCAAAAGAGATGCACTCACATGGAGCCTGTCTTCCTACAGCAATGAAGAACTCTGTGAGCATGGATTCATCAGACCAGAAGAAAACCAGGATGAAGCTCAAGAAGTTCCTGACTCGTCGACCCACATACCAGGCTGTCCGAGACAAAGGATACATTAAAGGTAAGCGGACAGCAGCTCTATGCACGTGACTCCAGCGAGAGTGCTCTGTGATGTTCCACCAGACGGGTGAAAGATGGAAATAAATGTTTGTGTGTGCTCACAGATCAGGTGTTTGGCTGCAGTCTGACCAGTCTGTGTCAGCGGGAGAACACATCAGTGCCCAACTTTGTCACAATGTGCATCGACCATGTGGAGAACACAGGTACGAGCCCCCCATACATACGCATATGTCACACTGCTTATTATTTTTATAGATTTTTATATACAACTTCACAAATGCAGACATTAAGCTCCCCCATTCTAATCTAAAGACTCCAGAACATGTTGCTATAAATCATGCATCACCATGGCGATGGTTTCGGCTCAGTTTTATTTCATGTTCAGCCAGTCGTTTGTTACAGTTGCATTATTTTTTCACACACATTAAACAACAGAGTTCCAGAGGTTAAAAGTACACGAGCCAATTACCCGAGTCGTGAACTGGAAGAGGCTGTGTAAAAGTATTTAAATGGAAAAAATGTTTGAAAATCAGTAAATACAAAAATAAATACCGTAGATCTTCCAGCCGATGAGGTTACATAGACACAGGCCAGTAACATGACCTGTGTCCAGGTCATGGCGGAGAGAGGCAGAGTCTTTCAGAAGTAAACTCAGGTTTTCTGCCACTTCAGCCAGTTCAGAATATTAAACATCTGTGTGGAATTTCAATTGTTTTTAAATTGTTTTTGCTTCTGATGCTGCGACTTTCTGTATCAGGCGTAATTTTAGTCTCTTTCAAGCATCAACTCAACTGTTTTCATTCAGACTACCTGCAGTTTGTTCCAGAGCAACACAAAGCGAGGCAGTGAAGACAAAAGCATTTGATCAGTCTCTCTTTGTTGGTGCTGCTGCTTTAAAGTCAGGAAACATAAACGCGGCCTTGTCGTTTACACTCCCTGCTCCTGTCTGTGTTCCCTTCCTCTCAACTACACCCACAGGTCTTAATATTGACGGCTTATATCGAGTGAGCGGGAACCTGGCAGTGATCCAGAAGCTTCGCTTTGCTGTGAATCATGGTAAGATCTAGTTACACTGTATCTCTATATGTGATGTGATGTAAAGGGTCAGCTTTCTGGTAATAGTTGTGTTCTGCCTTACCTCTTCGTCATCTGTCAGATGAGAAGGTGGATCTCAATGATAGCAAGTGGGAGGACATCCACGTCACCACCGGAGCTCTCAAGATGTTTTTCAGGGAGCTTCCAGAGCCTCTGTTCTCATACGGATCCTTCAATGACTTTGTGAATGCCATCAGTGAGTTATACGGTTAAAATAGTGCCGCTCTCAATCTTTAGGTTAAATCCTTTGCCTGGTGTGACCACAAGGTGGCACTGCATCCATGTGTTTTCGCTGATTCTGCTTCTCCTCTTCAGAGTGCTCTGACTACAAGCAGCGAGTGAATTCAATCAAAGATTTAATCAAGAAGTTGCCAAAGCCCAACCATGACACAATGCAAATCCTCTTCAAACACCTGAGGAGGTAAGCAGTGCGCTGGGACACTTTCCATTCATCCATTTAATAAATAACTTCTTAAGATCCTGAAACCTGTGAAATTTCATCACTGTCTTCAGAAGTAAGAGAGTCATCAGTCAGACTTGTTCACTTCTAGGTTTCCCAATTGAAGTCGGATATTCTCTGAATTAAAGCCACTGTGTTGTATGTTGGTTATTTATTATTGTGTATTTTGTTATACACTAAGGTATAATGACAAAACATTGTTTCAGCCCAGATATAAATCATTTTACCCTGAAGATCCATCAAATAAAAACAAATATTCGGACCTGTGTCTGTATCAACACATGGGAAAAGTACAGCCTGACAACTATAACCAGCCCATCCCAGTGTGAAGCCCAGGATCATAACTAGTTGGCCAACTCCTCAGCAGTCACTTTGAAAAATATAACTGGTGATAAACGTTTGAGGAACATCCGACACGGAGAAAGTAAACGCCTTCAAGTGTGTATTCTCTAATGCCCGTCCTCTTTGATTTATTGGGTCACGTTTTACTTGAACGAGTTTCACACGCGTGGCTCAAACGGACCCGTTCAGCTGTTTACTCTCCCTCGTTCCGATCAGCCTACATGCAAACACAAACTTGAGCCAGCTGTGTATTCTTGGCTCACTGCAGCCAGTGGCAATATCATATGTTCACAATGACATTTGCCTAGCTTTCCAATTTGCATTTATATGGTGCCATGTTTGCTGTAATTCAGTACCTGTGAAGTGGTGTTTCATGAGGAAATTTATAGCGTGACATTCTGTATATGGAGGTCTACATATATCAGCCGGGGGATTTAATCTGCCTTCTTTTTTCCTTCGCTCCATGAATATGTTATTGTTTTGTGCATCTGCATGCAAGGATGTAGATTCTATTTAAAAAAGCTATTATGCTCTTGCCTGGAGCGTTCTGTCGTGTTACCGAGTTTGCTTCTGCGCTCCAGCTCGAGCCTTAAAGATGTATGTAATGCACTTTTCTCCAGATGAAACCGGAACGCCGGCGAACATCTGAAGCTGTTTATAAAACGTGCAATCTTTAAATCTCCTCTTCTCCCCATTCTCCTCTTCTCTCCAGGGTGGTGGACCACGGAGAGGCCAACCGCATGACCACGCAGAGCGTGGCCATCGTGTTCGGACCCACGCTGCTGAGGCCCGAGACCGAGACGGGCAACATCGCGGTCCACATGGTCTACCAGAACCAGATAGTAGAGCTTATACTGCTCGAGTACGAAAGTATTTTTGGTAGGTAGAGGTGCCTACTTAGGAAGAGGATGCCACACTTTTCAAACACGGACTTGTTTTCCATTTCCCCTCCTCTCTTTTGTTTCTGGACTGAACTGAACATTGCTGTGGACCAAGCAGAAAAAAAATTCCTAAAGTGTTGCACTTAAAGAAGTTTTGGAGATGATTTAAAAGAAAAAAACAAAGTGTATAAATCTCACCCACTTGTTCAGTTGCCATTCCTGCTGCGAGTAGTGGGGCCAGATGAGTTTTTTTCAGAGTGGTGCTGCGATGACGTGTGGACGATGTGGTGGATTTGAGTATTCAGGTGTTTTTCACATACACTGGATTCCCTGTGGCCAGTAAATGAAAGTGGAGCTGCTCGCACCTCCTGGTGGAATCCGACCAGCAGTGGTTCTGGTTTCTGTGTCGTGAAGCTTCGTTTGTGACGTGTGAGCCCTTTGAGTATTTGGATAAGGTGGAAAAATAATCAGTGTTAAGCTAACAGACTGTCTTTTGGCTCTTGGATGAACTGGAATTACACTTATCCCACTTATTAGTGACACCCCCGCCCCCACTTTCAACCAGTGTTGGCCATTAACCCTTTGACACACGAGTGTGCCGAGTGAGGTAAATGGCATCAAATCGGAGCAGAAGCATCCCTGTGTTGCCACTTTGTAACAAACTGTGTGTCGTGTAGTCTAACGTGCTTTGGTAACATTTGCGTTAAGCCGGCCGCGGTCCTTCGTGAACTTCATTAAAACTTCAGTGGCGAGAAAGGTCGCCAACCTCAGTCCTGGTGTTACTGGAAACCAACAAAGCGGACTTCTGGGAACTTCAGTGTTACCATTTCACATGAATTTGCTGACCCTTCTCCTCACGTAAGCTAATATTACAAAGTGTTCAGACAGGGGAACATGGCGCCCGGCTGTTTGAACGCAAAGAAGAGCCTTTAAACCCTTTCGGAGCGTATGTACAGGGAAAGAAAGTAGCTGTTAAACTGTCGTAGTGACTGAGGTATGTGTGCTTTTGATGGCGAACCAGTGAAAGAGTCTGACTTTGTTGAAGTTTGAATCAAAAACGTGAAAAATAGACAGATTGTGAAAAAGAAAAAAAACCCCGTGACCGACTGTTACTTTTGTTTGCAGGTGTATCTGGAGTGTTTGCGCATGGTCAGGCATACATTTGAATGTACTTTTCAGGCTAACTGCTGTTTGTGAAATTGCTATGTCTAATAAAAAACAAGACAAACCCACGTCGGTGTGTGCTGTGGTGGATGTGAAGTGAAGAAAAGGTTAGCAGGCTGTTTAACCTTCAATCAGCTCTAAAGCTTCCCCCCTTTCCCTCGTCTTTAATTACATAATTGAATTAATCTACTCAGCACTGATATCCTGCTTATTGAATTGAGTGATTAAGCTTTCATGTCTCAATCAATTATTTTCCTACCTGTTAATTATGAAATGAAACGTCGGTGTATTTCTGGAGATTTCTTGAACGCGGCCCAACCTCTGCCGCTCCACTTCCATTAATCTGATTTCTCCGTTCTTCAAACGCCGTTTTTGTCGTTACGTCTCAGGTCAAACGTGGCTGCAGACCTGAAGGGTGTGGATTAATTGATGTCTAATTAGGTAATTGCCACAGTGTCAGTTCTGATTAAGAAGCACGAAGTGGAGCAAACTCTGCTTTGCTGAAAGCCCCACAGAGCCTGTGTGTATATTTTCTGTAGTTGTCTCCATATGTGGAAGTTTCCAGAGTGGGTTTGCTTTAATCTAATTTAGTTTTTATTAGCGCCAGTGTTTAATTTTCCTTGATTTTTGGAATGTGGCATTTGTCGGGGGAATGCCACATCAAAGACATCAACTAAAGACACCTCCCGTTGTTATAGTTTCAGAATATCCTTGTTTTCACCTTGTTAACTTTAACCTCTTTTTCATATCATTTTTTTGTGCATATATATACAAGTAGTAGTTTCTTGGCCCGATGAGGCTATTTAATGACAAATTAAGTCAATACATTTGGTATCTTTTCACTGAAACTCAGTATGAGGTCCAAAGAAATGTTAATGGAGTGAAGGACAGAGCAGAAACTTTAAGAGTAGCCAAATTAGCAGTGCTGTACAAAGAAAACCAAAGGGCCTGAAAGACCACAGCAGGCAACTAAACTCTTGGGGAGGTTGGTGTATCATAATCAGTGTTAATGTCGTGAATGTAAACAGCGTTTACAACACGGTGTAAACCTTTGCCTATACTAAAAACAGCAAGGGTAGATTGGACTGACAGAAAACGTGAAAGTACGGTGGCCTGGAGAGGTCAAAAGCACCAGCGAATAGAAAAGAATGCAAAAGCTCACACACACATAAAGAAGCACAACAGAACCTATGTTGTGTCCTCACACAACATGGTGACAATCAGCTGCAGATGTGACAGAAAAAGTCTTCACAGATGAAACAAAGATTAACTTCTGTCAGAATGATGAGAAGAGAAATGATCCAAAGCGTTCCACAGCATCTGTGAAACACGCTGAAGGCGATGTTATGGCACAGGCCTGGCTGTCAGCAGAAACCTGTAAATTGTGTTTGCCGATAATGTGACTACTAACAAAAGTAGCAGGATGAACTAAAGTGTGCAGGACCGCTGCTCAGATTCAGCCGAATGCTGCAAATCTGATGAGACGGCGCTTCACACTGCAGATGGATAAGCCAAAGCAAACCGCAAAATCGACCCGAGAGTTCCTCAAAGCAAAGAAAGGAGTTCTTCAATGGGCAGGTCAAACACCTGAAGACAGCAGCCTAGCAGACGATCTCACTCTTACCTGGTTTTCAGCATCTCCCAAATGAAATGGAAACCGTCTTCCAGTTGATCAACCACAAAGCTTGCTGTTGGTGGATTCCCTGGTTTGATTTAACATTTCAGCCTGTACATTAGCCCGCAGACATTAATGCTAGGGTTTAGAATCTATGACTGACCGTATCTCACAGATGACAAAAGCTGTGCGATGTGTGACATCATGTGTGAGTCACATGTATGTTAGATTTTTAATACTGTAAGCAGAATACCTCGTGTGACTTTTCCCTCTTTCTTGGCAGTATTTATCTTCTGTACTTTCTCTAAGGGAGTTAAACAGAACTTTTCATCCAGCCTCCAGGCTCTTTTCTTTCCACCACATGCCCTCCTCTGATTGAAGCCACTACTCTGAACCACCTCCGCTCTCTTTGCCTATGTGTTAATTTATTGCAACAGGTTTAACTCATACCTCAGCTCTGGCTCTGTTTTGACAGGACGGACCACCCTGGATTCAACAAACGTGTCAAAGGTAGGCAGCACTGAGTCGTGCACCCCGCTGAAAACCGCAGGCCGTTAAAACTGAGATGCAAGGAGGAGGGCCCTCAGTATTTCCAAATGAGAAAACAATTAGATCATTTCTATAATTCATGGATGTGACCACAGCGCAGGCCTGGAGAGGCTTTGAGTGTTTGAAATGCTCCGTATGCTTGCAGTGGTTTTCAGGCCTGATCTGCTCCGTGGAGGCCGAGGTGTGGGCAGGTAATGTGAACAAGCCATTATGGAGCATAAAAGATTTATGGATCTTCCCCCCCCGCTTCATTTGCAGGTGGGCTGTCAGCAAAGTGGCTGAATGAGGAACAAAATGGTTTGGGAGGTTTTTCTTTTTCTACTCTGTGGTAAAGACATTTTTACCAACTGCTTTTACCAATAGCTCAGAGAGCAAGCGTGAGGTGCTGTTAGCTCAGTGCTGCAAGATGAAGACATCCAAGAGGAGACTTTTAGATTCCATGATGCTGATTGGTTGTTGAGCTGTGCAGCAGTTAGAGCGTTGGAGCTTTTAAACGTTGTGTTTTCTGACTGACAGTTAATTTAATTTTTTTTTACTACACAGGTTTTCTTTCTTTCTTTTTTGTTTCTGGTGAAACGGGTTTGTTGAAGATCCTAATGTGCATTAGAAGTGACGTTTCATTTGACAATCCAGTCCAAACATCTCTTTGACAGATGAACTAATGTTCCTCCACCTCCTCTGCATCCATCCACCAGCCTGCTACGCCACCATTAATGATTTGTGTGGCAGCAGCAGGGCGACATCACTCAGCGCTGCAGTTTCATGTCTGATAACACAAACTTAGACGTCTGCTGACACTGATACGAACTCGATATGTTTTTGAAGCTGTTAATACAGGATGAATGCACCTAATATAATGTCACCTATGTAGGGGTGGGCGGTATAGCCTCAAAATTATATCACGATATTTCATCGAAATTTGCAATAATGATATTTATGATGATATAGTTAAAAATACTGAATGTTTTATCAGTGATTGAAGCTTTCAGGCAGCAGCATTTGTCAGGGCAAACAAAGGGACCGGCATCTGTGCTCATCGGCGACCTGATAAGAATTTCAAAGTTATAAAGTGTTCTACAGGTTTTAGTCTGCATGATTGTCAACTATATGCTGCTATATCACTGGTTTATGTTTGCAGTGTCACATTTTTTTAATTGGTATGTACTCAAATATTGGATTTTACAGGCTAATACTCAAACAGTTTTTAATGTATCCGTTGCAAATAAACTCATGTCTTTTTTTCTCTGATGATAAAAAAGACCAGGCTTTTATTCTTTTTCATTTCATGTATATTCAGCTAGCTAATACTCATAGTTCATAGTAAGTAAAAGCAGGGAAGTTTTCAGACTTTGATCCTGTTGTTGAGATATTCAGGGCTAAACACTGCTGCAGATTTCAGTGAGCGAATAACAGCCCTGAAATAGTCACCACGCCATTTTCAGAAAACACAAATTATTTGATATATGAAGTTAAAATTTCATATATATTCAAACCTTTGACCATGAAGGTTTTATTTAAATCAGAGGTGAAATTATTCAAAAATAAATTTGCTCATTTGAGATGTAATGACCTTTAAACTAAACCTGTGGTTACAAAAACACTTCCTGTCCAGGGGAAAACGTCCTGTGGCCCTGACTTCTGTAAGCACTTTCCGAGTGGGTGTATTTGCACTCACCCATTTCTGGTTACATTGAATAAAACGAGTGACAGAAGGCAGTATTATCAAGTTTGTTGTCACTATTGTAGCTATTCTCAGGTATACAGCATATATGCTGGACTCTGTTGTTTTACACTAGTATAACACCGCAGTTCTTTACAAGTACCTATAGCAGGACTTTTTCCCCTCATGTCCTATCAGTCATTTTGTAAAATGATGCTGTTTTATATTCTTTTTTCTTTTTTTTTTAACCTGTGACTCTACCGACAACCTCAGACCTTCGGCAGCTCCTCTAGACTTCCTAAATGCAGCTGTTTCACTTCCATATGACAAAAACCAGACAAACTGCTA